AACTTCTATGAACTCATCTTGATTTAGAAGGCCAAATTTCTTATCAATAATGTTAGTTATCTTCTTTTCATCAAGTGTTTCTACCACTTGTTATAATCTATATGTATCCTACTAAAAGGAGAGTTTACTAATGATTGAGCTAACTATTCTACCTGTTTAATCAATAACCACAAAGGCACAAACCACAGGAGATAAGTAGACCTTGAAGACCATCCATATGAGCCTAGGGAGATCAATTTATCCCAAATATTGAAGATTCATGAAGGTGAACCTTCCAAGACCCAAAGGCACGAGCTATTATTATATGCGGACACCGGATGGTTCTCCTGTCCGGTTAAGTGCTCGGTACCGAGTACGGGTACTGAGCGCGGTATATTTTTGGGGTGAGGTGGTGCATTTTTATTGGTCTCTGGACACCCTCCGGACTCCGCACAGAATAATAAATCCAAAGTCACAGGACTAAATAGTACTCTTATCAGAAGTATGTGTCTGCCCATGCGGATATTGGCAAATTGGACCAAATGGAAGAGAAAAAATGATAGCGACTAGGATTTTTATTAGGAAGGAGAAGCTGATAGAAGCAAGGTCCAGTCACAAAGAACTCCTCTTTTAAGATACAGGTGCAAGGATTTCATCCCACATTCTGTTTCCAATCAGTTGAATCTATAGACATATGGGATCTATTTAGCTGCAGGAAAAGTAATACGTCGTTACTAAAGCTAAACTACTACTTGTTTAGTAAAGAAAAAAATAAGTAATAGGAAAGAAATCCAAGCCAATGAGCTGAGATACTCACTCACTGAAAGTTCAATTGACGAAAGTGTAATTGATATGTTCTTCATAAGAACTACAGCAGTTTTCTAAAAAAAAAGTTATCTTCTGCCAAATCAAACAACTATATTATAAGATTGAAAATTCCAAATAACAACTTGCAGAAAATTCCGCTAGAAAATCTCGAAAAAAAATAGGGTTAAAAGCAGACAAAAAAAAAATGCGATTGAAGGTTCCATGGAAGGGTGCATCTAAGAGAGGAACCTCAGTGTGCTTAAAAGTGAAGGAATAACAAAGAAATTTTCTGTACCTGGAGGCGGCTCCATCGACAGCGTTCTTTCGAGCCCCATTTCTTCCTCTCTCTCCATCTCCCTCTTTCTCAGCTCTCTATCGGCAAAGTAATAATATGCAGAAAAATTACTGGAGCTACACAATACAAATTGTCTTCTGCGTCCTGCTGCGTGGTGTGAATTTTGTGCTTCGAAACTTCAGGAGAAACTTAGAACGTCAAATGACCAAAGGCCAATAAAAATTTTTACTCTATTCCTTTGTGACGTAATGGGAGAACTCGCTTTGCTTGTTCGCACTACACGGAGAAGGTAAGTTTCGGCAGGGTTTGGTTGTTCGCACGGGATGGAGAAAGAGAGGAGCGCGGGATTCAGACGGGTAAGACACCTGCTCGAACGATGAAGAAAGATGAATTCGCGCGCGAAAGGAAGGGTTTTAACTGTGAGGTATTTCGGATGAGAGAATGTTATTTAGGTGGTGCATAAGTATATAGTGTAGTTTATGCATGTAAATATAATAGTTTTCTAATATTATATATACGAGTTTGATATATAATTTAAATTATAAATGGTAACAGAGTATTAAAAAAAATAATAAAAAAACAAATTAATCAAACATAATGACACATTTCATTGAATGCGTCAAATTATTTAACACATTATTACAGTAATTTCATATTTTAATTGGCCTGACTTGAGTGAATGCCCCAAATGATTTGGCGCATTTTAAAGAACTAGTCAAATCATTTGGTGCATTCTAAATAATGTACTAAATGATTGGCTAGTTCTGAATGCATCATTTGGTGTTTTTTTTAGAACATGTCAAATGATTTGACTAGTTTGTTTCTTTTTAATTTTTTTTAATGTTTTGCTCCTATTCTAAAAATTCCTAATAGTTTTAGATGTTATGTATATAAAATCTAATAAAAAAGATAATGCTAATTTTTTCAGTTAATTTAGAAAAATATCGTCATTAATGCTATGAATCATTTGATTAATCACAAATGTTAGTGGGTGACTAGCATCACCTACTAAAAATCTACCTTGCCATCTACCTCCAACAAGCTAAATGCGCTGTTCTTCCTCACTCCTCTTTCCACCATCTCCTCCCTCACCCTTCCCACTTTCTCCCATCTACAAGCACCAGCATATAAATTAGACAATCCAACAAAAAATCCACCACCAAAGTCATCATTTTCCTCCTCCTCCTCAACACCAAACCTCAACCCTAAAAAACTTCTCTCTAATCTCTCCGCATAAGCCAGCTCCCCACGAACCAAACAAGCATGAAGCAACGATCCCAACACAATCCGATTAGGCTCAAATGGCATCGATGCCACAACACGCTCGGCCTCCTCGAACCTCCCGGCGCGGCCAAGCATGTCGACCATCACTCCGTAATGTTCCATCCGGGGTTCAATGCAGTACACTGCCTTCATGTCGTTGAAGATCCGCATGCCAGTTTGAACAAGGCCGGAGAGGCTGCAGGCATGAAGGACGGCGGTGAACGTAAGGCCGTCGGGCTGGAGATGGCGCTCCTTCTCCTCCACCATCTTGTCGAAGAAGGCAACGGCCCTCTCCCCGCATCCATGCATCGCTAGACCACCAATCATTGCCGTCCATGTCGACGAGTCTTTTTTTTGAATTCCATTGAAGACCTTCAGCGCGCAATTCAGGCTGCCGCATCGAGCATACATGTTAATTAGCGCCGTGGCCACTTCAAAGAGTTGTGAGAGGAGACGGATGGAGAGGGAGTGAAGAGCCTTCCCATGGGCGAGGAAGCCAAGGCCGGCGCAACAGGAGAGAGCAACAATGAAGGTATCGGCATTTGGTCGAACACCTGTAGAAATCATTTGGGTGAAAAGAAATAGCCCATCCTCCTGCTGTTGCTGCTGCGACCTCGCGCAACAAGAAATAATGGCGCTCCAAGTCACCACAGTTCTCTGGGGCATTTCATCGAACACCTTTCGAGCACAGCCAAATAAGCCGGAGCAAGCGTATGCGTGGAGGAGCGATGTGGCGACGTGGGTATCCCCGTCGCAGCCATGGCGGAGGGAGAAGGCGTGTATGAACGAAGGAGGCCAGAGAGAGCGAGCAGAGGCGCGGAGAAGGAAGGGGAAGACGAAGCGGTCGGGGTAGAAGCCTGAGTGCAGCATGCGAGAGAAGAGGATGAAGGAGTTGGAGGGTGTGGGACCAGCGGAGTGGGCTCTGATCATGGAACTGTAGGAAAAGGCCGACCGGCGGGGTGAGGCATCGAAGGCGAGCTGAGCGAGGGAGAGGTCGGAGGCGGCAAAGGCGGCGACAATGCGAGCGGAGACAAAGGGCTCGGCAAAGAGGCCAGAGATTACGGCGCGAGCGAGGATTTGTTTGAGATCATGTGGGGATGAGGAGGCCGAGAAGGCGCAGAGGAGACGGCTGCGCTCACGAGGGAGGGAGAAAGGCGGGCATTGGAGCATTGGTCAGGCGGCTGTGGAGTGCGGCGATTGGAGAATTATGAGGTGTTTAATCAATTAGGGAAGGGATTATACATTACTCGTTTATTAATCATTATGCTGCTTATTAATTATTAAATTGTTATATGAGATAATTTTTTTGAATAAAAATTGTGTCAAAGTATTATGTTAAAATAGGATAATATAAATTATATGGATAAAGATGAATTTTTTTAATTTATTTTTATATTTTGCTATAAATACATTATTAATCTAAAAATAAATTTAATAATTTTTATATAAATTTTTGATAAATGGCTCATGAGTGGAGCTCAATGAACTAACAAGTCAAGTTTAAATTAAACTCGACTCGATTCATTATCTCATAAACAGGCTCTTTAAAACTTTTTGTTATAAAATACGTTTAAAATATATTGGAATTAAGGACATTAAATATAAATGTATTATAAATATTAAATGAAAGTGTTTTTTTTCTTATTTATCTTTTACTTTCTCATTCTTTTAATATTTTTATTATAACAATTAATTGAGTCATAATCATTTTCTCCCTTTTATTATAAATGAGTCAGCTTGAACTCATAGAATTAAGCTCAACCTTGATTTATTAATCAAACTCAAATAAAAAATGACTCAAGCATGTATAGACTAAGGTTTCGTTTGGGACGGCTTTATTACTGCTTCTTAAAATAGTTTTAATAAGCAGTAAGAAAGTTGTCCCAAACGAAACCTAATTTACTTTAGTTCAAAAACTTAATATAAGTCCAATGAACAGAATGTCTTCCATTACTTATCTTCTAAAAAAAGATGGGTTTTATATAGATAAATGAGGGAGGAAATGCACTTTTTTTACTTCATAATTTTATTTTGTTTTTTTTATTGCAACCAAAATTATCATAATTTTATTTTGGTGTATGATAAAGAGGTAATTAAATTAATGAGCCTATAAAATGTGAATTTTTTTTCATTAATAATTCATTGCCTAATTCTATTACAAAAGAAGAGAAAATATTGTGACTTTTGTATTCTTTCTCTTAATTAAAAAAAAATCAATCAAATAAAAAAGAAGTAAAATTTTCATTTAATGTCTTCTCAAAATCAAATAAATGATAAATAGTTGACAATTTATATCGATTTAATTTCATTAATAATTCAAGTTTTTATTTCTTTTCATATCCTCCTATTTATTTGGGACATTTTTTCACTATTTTCTTAATAATTCTTTTATATTTAAAAAAAATTAAATTATTTTTTTTTTGGATTAAAACAATATTGTAAAAATAGTAAAAAAAATTTGAAGCCTAAAATTCATGAAAACACGATTTATTTTTAGTTTTTATCACATCTTCATTTTCATATTTATTTATTTCAGTCAAAATTAACATAATCTACTAATGAAGTTTCTAGAAGCCAATAAACCATCTTTGCTTTCGCTGCAAAAAATTATATTAGTCACTGCGAAAGTTCCTCAATAGAAAAAGAAAAGTCCAGCATCAGAAAAAAAAAATTCAGCAATATTTAAATTAGATAATAGATATAATTCATGATATAAGTAATATTATTTTCATTATATAGCAAAAATTTTACAGCAACAGAGAGTATATTAAATATCTTATTTTTTTTTATAAAAACTCAACATATATATAAAGTAGAAATTTATAAGAGAATATAATTTTTTATGTGGAAAAAAAAAATCTTGACATCTGATTCCACTAAATAATAGAATATATAAAAATTATCTCTTCCTCATTATTGAAGAAGACAAGATTGTACATTATTAAAAATAATTATATGACTTTAATTGTTGAGATTATAAAAATTGGATGTCAGTAAGTGGATAGTAGAGTTAAATATTAATAATCAAGTGACAATAGTTGAATGATAAAAATTTGATAATATGATAACGATTGTTGATAGTGGTCGTCAACTTTGATGATCGGAAAATATAATAGAGTTTTTAGCTCTCTCATCTTTAAAATGTCATCTTAGATAAAAAAATGAAGCCATATTTATAGCATTTTTTTAGAGAAATTTTTTGATAAACTTAATCATATTCCAAAAATAAATTTATGTTACTTATTATGATTAGAATAAACCTCTAAATAGAAACAATGAATGAAAATGCTCTGAATAATTTTCTCTCTTCTCCCTCTCTCTTCCTCTTTCTCTCTCTCCCATCGATTACCTTCTTCCCCGACAATCGTGAGTGAGGGGTAAGGGTGAGTCATGAGTGCATAGGAATTTTATGGTTTTAATATATAATTTTTTTTTAATGGCTTAGCACCGCAGTGCTCAGATTCAGCGCCGCACGTAAAATATAGAATTACTTCATAATAAAGACTCAAGCGTCACAACGATATTTTATGGCACCGTTGTGCTCTCAAACCTGGCATCGTAGCGCTCTAGAGCTAGCGGTTGTGCCGCTGCGCTCTAGTTCAAATAGAAATTAAAATTTTTTTAAATACATTTCGTATTTTCAGGTAATTACATGGCATACCCGATATTCAAGCTCTCAATCATGCTTTTGTTGTTCTCTCATTTGACGATTCTCACAGCTAATGGGATTCTTTATGATTGGTGCAAAGATAAATGCATATCTCTTTGGAAACCTATCCCTCCTAATTTTTTTCTTGCTTCTAGAAGAACCTATTTATGGTAGCTCACAAGGTTATGACTAAATTCACATACCAAATTACTAATAATTCTACCTTCTTATTCTATTGGGAATCATGGCTCAATGGTTAGATGATTGTGTTTCCTCGCCCCCCCTCCCCCCTGTAGTTAAATATAAATTGAAATTTAAATAATTTAATTATTAAAAAATAAATCTAACTTAAAAAAAATCTATTAATAATACTAAAATATTTTTAAATTATAAAAAATGGAAAAAATAACTAAAATCTAAGTTAATGCAGTTAAAATAATAACAGACAAATTAACTTACGATCACTTAAAATTTTAAAATGATTATTTTCATTTAAGAAATTCTAACAAAAATTTTAAAATAATTCTAAAAAATAAATAAATATTGAAATTAAAAATTTAAGATAATCTTATTCAGAAAAAATAAACTGAAATCTATAAATAAATAAAAAAAAAAATTGGATGTCGCAAGACTCGCAACGATAATGGCGGCATAGCGCGTCTGATAAATTTTTTTAAACCCAACGTTTCTGCTTATTAATTAAAGTAAAATTCCCCGCTAGAGCTCCAGATGAATGAAAAAGTCTGCGAACACCCGACGACCGAAGCCATCGAGAAGCTGGTAGAATGCCAAATCCTCTCCTTATAAGTCCTCGCCCACTTGTCATCCTCCTCATCTCAATCCATGGCTTCCGTTTACAGGCAAAATCTCTCTCTCTCTCTCTCTCTCTCTCTCTCTCTCTCTCTCTCTCTCTCTCTCTCCAACCTTTAAGTTCTAAGCATTTCACGATCATGCTGATATGCGTTTGATTTATTACAGGTGCATTAGCTGTGGAACTGACCTTAACCTAAGTCAAGCGCATCTCTTTCCCCCGAATGCTTACTTTGAGGCAGGCAACAAGGGGACGCTTTCCTTCTCGTGGGTGGACGATTCCAAGCTCCGTTTCACCAAGGAGGATAAGATCAAGCCCTTCTTTGAGACCGTCAACTACTGGGGAATCCAGCGCAAGCGCACTAAGATGCAGTGCGATGCCTGTGGCTTCCTTGTCGGCTACATCTACGATGACGGACCGCCGATGATGCAGGGCATCGGCCAGCTCGGCATGGGCCCGAGTCAGGTCATCCCTAGGTGCCCCAGGTACAGGTTCAAGACCAAGGCCCTTGCTGTTTCTTCTTGAACTGCTTCTTCTCTGTTCTTCTTTTGCATTGCCACTAGGGTTTCCCGATACTGGGGTCCCTCTCTTTGGTGGAAAATTTCTTGGAACTAAATGATTTAGGTTTGAGTTTTCTATTCCTTTCAATGAGGAAATTTGATATGTATTCTTGTAATTAGTAAGTTACTTATTGGATTATAGAAATTAATTTGACATGAGGGACCATTCTTTTCCTTTTGTTACATTTAGCCTACAAACATAATTGAAATTGCTTCCATGTTTGTGACAGGATCTCAGATTTGAGGCAACAACTTTTTTTATAGTTTTTTTTTTTGCAGAATATTTATTGTTAGAAGTTTCTTACGATAATGCCTCGAGTGTCATTTAGTTTGTTGAACTTAACAGAAGTCTTATTACCCGTACATGTATATTCTTTTTATTGGGGCTTGAATTCGATATTCTGTGATTGATTAAATTCCTAAGGAATATTACAATTTTATGGCTGTAATCGATGCTGCTGCTGGTTGTTATAATGTTATGGATGCTAATTCGCATTAAAAGAACTTTGATATTGAGGATGAGAAATCATACTTAACTTTTGCAGTTTGAACTCTTATTTCAAACTTTTTAGTGTTTCAGATGATCAGCAATGTGTGTGCTTTTAATGCTTTGGGCATACTATTTTCTTAACCTATATATACCAAGAGACAACGCTATCTTCTATTGAAGAAGGCGCCCAGTAAAGGCTTTATTAAGCCTTAATAGAAAATTGAATTGAGAATCTCTTACAGTTACTACCCAGCTTTGAAAAATAGGCATGGAAAATTTCATATTTATATTTTTTCATATGTTATTGTTAAGCTTTATATGGTTACATCTGTCATCTTTGTTTCATTATGTCAAGAAAAGCATTCTAAGTTGGCTCAACTGTTGCTAAAGATCATTAATGTGGTTTAGTAACTTATGAATGCTGTCATTAATGTAGTCCTAATCTTTAGCATCTTCAATTCAAAGAGATATATTGTAATTGGGATTAATGAAGCTTATGTAGAGAATACCAAAAGATTGAATCAGGATAATTGATTAGTGGTTGGTATGGTGATCTGGCATAGTATAATGGCATAGCTTATTGTTAGGAAAGCCATCTAACTTTATGCAAAAGTGTTAATTGGGAGCAAGTACGATGAGTCTCAAAGTTCATAGAAAGATACAATGCATAGAGAATGCCAAGATTTACATAGTTAGGCAAATAATTGAGTACATCCATAAGAAACAAGAGATGATCTAATCCACTAAATAAGAAACGACAAATAAAGAGGCACTCAAGGGTGATGATGAAAAAAAAAAGGACTAGAATTTGCTCGCTTAAAAAATTTCTCAAAAGATTGTCTTTATACATCTTTATAACTTTCTCTCTCTCTCTCTCTCCCCCCCTCAATTTCAAACACCTACTCTTCTAGATTTGAGTTCAAAGATAATTTAGCATAGGAGTTAATGTTGAGATGATCATGATATATACTTTGAAACTCAAAATTCAAAAAAGAGCTTGGCTATTATAGTGTCTTTATCCATTGGTTTACAAGGTTAGAGAGTGTCCATCTTTTAGTATATTGGGCTTAATTTGGAGTTTTTTATTTACCCTCTTAATAAATGGTATTAGAGCCAATTGTTTGGCTAGGATCAAATGTTCCATAAGGTTTGTGGCTTCAATAGATATTTATGGGTTTTACCATGATCAAGAAAAGTTTAAGGATGCATTATTCCAATTCAGCCTACATATAGTTTAATGATGCATTATTCATGGGCTTTGAGTGCATGACATTTATGCTAACAAACTTAAATTGAGATGAGAGAGTAATAGGAAGGAGATAGCAGCATTTTTTGTTCCTTTTTACAATGCAATAACAAGTGTATACATATACAACCGGGAGACAAATGTTAGTTGTAAGGCAATGATTGAGATTAATTGAAGTATTAGCAATCAACGGATAGGAATTGTTGTAGCAGAACTTTAGCAGGGCAGTAGCAAACATTGGTAGCCGAGCAAAAACAAAATATTTTATCCATTAACACCTCCTTGCAAACTGATGATTCAGGAAGAATTGTAAGCTTATCTCTAAAGAAGTAAAATCGAGAGCTGAGAAGTATTTTGTTGAACATATCGGCCATTTTACAATAATTTCTTATAACTTGATGCAATCCTTGATGAAATGATAATCAACTTCAATGTGCTTGGTATGTGCATGAAAAATAGGATTTTTTGCTAGTGCTATAGCTAAGATGAACAATATTATTAGTATTTGGTCCAATTTGTATGTTAGTTTCAATTTTACTGTTTTGTCCCTTTAGATTATTTTAGTATAAATAGGGGTGGTGTATTTATTTTAGATAAGGAAAAAGAAATAAAGAAAATCCTACAAGCTCCCCTCCCCTCCCTCTCTCTCTTCCCTCCCTCTCTCTCTTCCCTCCCTCTCTCTCATCCAAGAAGAGCAAGATTCATCTTCCTCCAAGACAAGGTTTTCACAACAAATATAAAGGTGTTTGATCAATCATTGAAAACTCAAACTCCTTTAATAACTGGTGTAGCCAAATAATATTTGTGGCAGAGGTGGAAAGGGCGCAATATTTAGCTTCAATAGATGATCATGCTATTGTCGATTGCTTTTTTGTCACACTACAAAATATGTCACCAAGATAAGCACAATAAGCAGTCATAGATTTCTTTTTAGATTTATCAACCGTCCAATTGAAATCGAAGTATGCATGAAATTGAAGAGAACCTTTAGACTTTAGTTGCAAGAAGCCCATAGTTTATTGTGCCTTTGGTGCATTTGAAGAATCTTTTGAGACGTTGAAAATTAATGTTCAGCGAGTTATGCAAATATTGGCGCAATTTATTTATTATAAGATGCTACTTTGAATCTGCAATGAGTTTGAATTCGGGTTTGCACAAACAAGAGGCTTAAGGGACATATAGGCTACATAAACGATCTAAAATTGTCCTTAACAAAGCAATGTAGCAGCTTAATGGCATGTGGTGTTTGCTGTAAGTGTAATCCACTAGAGGTCTTTATTGCATTGATGACCTAAAGTTTTGAATTTGCTCCTAAATTTCTACTTTTAAAGTGCCATTGCAGGTTTGTAAGCCTAGCAAATGGAACAATATTCAAGATTTACATAGTTAGTCAAATAATTGCCTACATCCACAAGAAACAAGAGATGATCCAATCCACGAAATAAGAAACAACAAATAAAGAGGCACTCAAGGGTGATCATGAAAAAAAAAACAAAAAAAGATTAGAATTTGCTCGCTTCAAATGTTTCTCAAAAGATTGTCTTTATACCTCTTGACTTATTTTACTTGAAATTTCTAGTGCAAATTGCTTTTTGACTTGTCGATATAATATTACAATCTCACAGAAACAAATTTTCTAACTTCCTCTACTCTCTCTCTCTCTCTCTCAATTTCAAACATCTACTCTTCTATATTTGAGTTCAAAGATAATTTAGCATAGGACTTAATGTTGAGATGGTCACAAGATATGATTTGAAACTCGAAATTAAAAAAACAGCTCGACTATTATAGTGTCTTTTTCCATTGGTTTACTAGGTTAGAGAGTGTCCATCTACTAGTATATTGAGCTTAATTTGGAGTTTTTTATTTACCCTCTTAATAAATGGTATTAGAACCAATTTTTTTGCTAGGATCAAATGTTCCATAAGGTTTGTGGCTTCAATAGATATTCATGGGTTTTACCATGATCAAGAAAGTTTAAGGATGCATTATTCCAATGCAGGATACATATAGTTATATGAGCTTTTAGTGCATGACATTTATGCTAACAAACTAAAATTGAGATGAGAGTGTAATAGGAAGGATATAGCAACATTGTTCATTCCTTTTAACAATGCAATAACAAGTTTATACAATCTGGAGACAAATGTTATTATAACAGATAGGAATTGTTGTAGCAGAACTTCAGCAGGGTAGTAGCAAACATTGGTAGTAGAGCAAAAAAAAAAAAATCCATTAACACCTCCTTGCAAGCTGAAGATTCGGGAAGAATTGTAAGCTTGTCTCTAAAGAAAGAAAATCGAGAGCTGGGAAGCATTTTGTTGAACATATCAGCCATTTTACAATAATTTCTTATAATTTGATGCAATCCTTGATTTTTGATGAAATGATAATCAACTTCAACATGCTTGATATGTGCATGAAAAATAGGAGTTTTTGCAAGTCCTATAGCTAAGATGTTGTCACAATATTGTTAGTATTTGGTCCAATTTGTATGTTAGTTTCAATTTTAATGTTTTTCCCCTTTAGGTTGTTTTAGTACAAATAGGGGCGGTGTATTTATTTTAGATAAGGGAAAAGAAATAAAGAAAATCCTGCAAGCTCCACCTCTCCCTCCCTCCCTTCCCTCCCTCTCTCTCATCCAGGAAGAGCAACATTCATCTTCCTCCAAGACAAGATTTTCACAACAAATATAAAGGTGTTCGATCAATCATTGAAAACTCAAACTCCTTTAATTACTGGTGTAGCCAAATAATATTTACGGCAGAGGTGGCGAGGACTTGATATTTAGCTTCAATAGATGATCATGCTATAGATGATCATGCTATTGTTGATTGGTTTTTGTCACACTACAAAATATGTCACCAAGATAAGCACAATAAGCAGTCATGGATTTCTTTCTAGATTTATCAGCCGTCCAATTGAAATCTAAGGATGCACGAAATTGAAGAGAACCTTTAGTTACAAGAAGCCCATAGTTTAGTGTGCCTTTGATGCATTTAAAGAATTTTTTGAGATGTTGAAAATTAATGTTCATTGAGTTATGCAAATATTGGCGCAATTTATTTATTATAAGATGCTACTTTGAATCTGCAATGAGTTTGAATTCGGGTTTGCACAAACAAGAGGCTTAAGGGACATATAGGCTACATAAACGATCTAAAATTGTCCTTAACAAAGCAATGTAGCAGCTTAATGGCATGTGGTGTTTGCTGTAAGTGTAATCCACTAGAGGTCTTTATTGCATTGATGACTTAAAGTTTTGAAGTTGCTCCTAAATTTCTACTTTTAAAGTGCCATTGCAGGTTTTCAAGCCTGCAAATGGCATCCGAATGAGTACCTTTTAACAATATGTCGGCAATGTAAACCAAAAGAACCATCTAACAATTGTAATGGTTATAGATTAATAGAGATAGATTTGTG